GGGTTCCTCTTTGCCAGCACTGGGCACAAGTCTGGTCAACGTGGGAAGGAAGATTCTAAAACATGAGCCTGACACAGGGCTTCTCTCTTTCTGGGCCAAATTTGCAACCTCCAGGCACTTTTCTCCTATTTTCCATGGCCCCAGTGTCTACCTTCTCTTCCCTAAACACACTCATACAAAAGACAGATCATTTCAAATGGGATGTCAAATAAGCTTGTTTTCCTATGGTTACTATGAAATCCAAGAATATTTTTCATTTTAAAAAATACTTAAAAGGATTATAATGAAACTGTAAAGAATTAAGGGCCTGCCTTCTATGAACCTGTGAAGGTGTTTTCACTATTCCACACATGGTACAATATCAGTTCCTATATTTTGCCTGAAACAAAGGAAATTTTTAAGTTTTTATTTTAATGATAAAATTGTAGCAATTAATGATGTTTTCCCCAGACAGGAATTCTGAGACCTATTGCTATTTCTTCTTCATAGAATACACACACACACACACACACACACAGGCTTTTCTCATAATGAAAAAAATAGTGGGTTTTAACAAGTGAAAGGAATATGGAGCCCAGGGGGCCCAGATGCTAAATATAAGGAAACAGGGATGAAGAAAAGATGGGAAGTTTAAAACGAAGGTGTCTACAGAACCCAAAGGCAGATTTAAGAAGCAAGGGAAAAACAGAGACCCAATGATACTAGGACTCAAGTCTATTTTTTTCTTAAAATAGTTGAAGATGTAGAATGTACCTGTTTGAAAAATAACTTCCAGGTGAAAACTATAAAATAGGTATGCATTTTAATTTTGGACATTTTTCCAGATTCACTCATCAAGGTGAAGTAATTACTTACAACCTACGTAATTATTTTAAGAATACCATTCTTCACTTTAGCTTATGACCATTTCCTTTTTAAGCCTTACTAAGAAAGGTTTACCGGAACCCAGAATTCCATTTTTGTTTATATAAATGACACAAGATGACTTTTAACTGCAGCATCAGAATTCTACATTTGCTTTGAGATTACAAGCACATCACATACTAATGATGTACATTGGCTTCTTATCCCACTGTCGAAAGAAAAACGTAACAGACAAACCCAGTATTTTTTTGTGTGTGACATCCCAAAGCCAGATAGGGAGTTTTGCTTTTAGCTACTTTCAAGGCTTTCAAATGACCATTTAGAATTTGACCTATGGTGTTTATTCTGAAAAATAAGCAAAGTAGAATAATCATCCAGGTAACCCCTGAGGACCTAGAGAAAGGCTTGGGTTAAGGGAACAGGAGGAGGAGGGGAATGACAGACTGTATCCGTCCTGAGTCACCTCCTGGGGTTTAAGTTAAGCAGCTGGAATCCATTTTCTCCATTCTCTGACACAGCAGACGGATGTACTGCATGAATGGCTTGCATTTCACTTTTCATAAAAGCCTAGAACAGTCAGCCCTCCCTACTGAGACAGGACTTTTCATCTGGGTAAAAATATAGAGAGATTCTCGAAAAGAAATGCTGGATTTCTCACTCAGAAGGATTCATTGTGCTAGACAATATGGAGAGGTTGGTTCAACAGTGGCTTGAAAAACCTGTCAAACTTTAGCATTTCATTCATCTTTGAGCTATCACACAAAGAAGCTTTCCTAATTTTATTTTGACCACTTAAAAAAATCTTTTTGTCTTGATTAAGCAATATGATTATATAGATCAAGTGCATCTTTAAGGGTCGTTACTAAGAAATAGGTTTTGTGGGGGTGCCTGGTGGGTCAGTTGGTTAAGCATCTGCCTTTGGCTCAGGTCATGATCCCAGAGTCCCCGCATTGAACCTCGCATCAGGCTCTCCTCAGTAGGGAGCCTGCTTCTGCCGCTGACCCTGCCCCCCTCTTGTGCTAACAAATAAATAAAATCTTAAAAAAAAATAGGTTTTGTAACGAAGACCAAAATAATAGATTGATCTTGATTTAAATCCCACAAAGCCCCACTGTATTATTTCAAAGAACATGATTTTAGTATAATTTGTGAGAAAATAAGGATTATATACTTTCTTTTCCTTCCAATTAAAGGATATCTGAACACCTCTTAGATGGACTTAGGAGCAATTTTTCTTTCAGGAGTAAATTACTTAGTTTTAGAGCTGTATGAATATCTACTTACGTCAATTTATGTAACCAATCAATAAATTTTTGAGTACATTTTGTCAGGCTCCATGTGAGGCTCTGGGTATTCCAAAAAGATACCAACCTTCTCCCTCTTTACAGACAAGGAAAACAAAATGCATAGTTACTCGTTCTGATCATTGCCAGCAAGGAACAGGAGATACTCAGAGACAACCTCTTTTAGATAAGGTGGTCAGAGAAGATCTCTTTGAGGACATGGTATTAAAGGTGAGACCTAAAAAGTAAGGAGCGAAGGCAGCCACACCAAGCAGAGGTTTGAAAGAATTACCATTTCTGGAGGGAAGGTCCCAAGGAGTAAAATCTTATGCACTTTCCAAATACACCTTAACAGATCAAGAGAAAATGTATTTCAGACTCTATTCTTCTGTTCTCTCTTTCTGGAATTTGTTATTTGGATATAGGACAGCTTAGGCTGATGCTCCAATTTGCTTATGCTTTTTTTGTTGCTTTACTTTTTTAGAGACTTTCTAAACTTTATTTTCCAGATGTCTGTTAAGTCTTTATTTCTGCTCTCTTGTTTTAATTTCAAAGAGCTCTTGAATGTTCTGTTTGTTACTGTATTTTTCATGGAAACAGCATCTTCCCTTGTCCCTCTGAGGAGGCTGAGGAGACTGGGGGTTTTCATCTTCCTGCGGAGGCCCCTGTGTTACTTTGTGCATTCCTTCCTCGCTCCCCCATTTCTGGTTTGTCTTGGTCTCCGCCTTTCCTGTAAGAAGTTTGATGACACTTGGCTGACTGTGCATCTTTAAGGATGGGCTGTGGACAAGCTTTTAGGATTCAAGGGAAGAAGAGGGAGAGCAGGCTGAGCTCCACCTACCAGGAGAGAGACTCCCAATTGCATTGGTAAGATTTCTCAGAGACCACCTCTTTCTGTCTGCCTGCAGGATGCCAACCCTCTGAGGGGCCAACATTCTGGGAGTTAAATTTGGGGAAGAAAGCTGGAGGTCTTTTCATTTAGTTTGTAAACTTTTACTTAATCCCTCAGCTGTGGGGCAGAGAACCCCTCCTTTAACCCTTTCAGGGAACAAGTCTAGGTTTTCCAGCTGGGTGGATCAAGAGGCAACTGCTCAGCTGGGTGGAGAAAAGCAGGCAATCACAGATTTCCAACAGGTCCCCCTGGTTTAGCCCGACCATTCCCATCCTTTTCCAGGGCAACAGTGCCAAGTTCCTGAGCCTTTCTAAGAACCAAGCTGGGGCATTCTGCTTTCCCACTACAAGTCAAGCCGTCCAACGCGTCTGGTCTGCTGCCAGCGACCACGTGTTCGCTGGCTTTTCAGTTCCCAACTTCTGTCACTTCCCCATTAAAAACATCTTATTTTAGTTTTCTTTGGGGGCTTCAGGAGTAAGCAGAGTTCAGGGACGTACACATACATCTGCTGTCCTCATCCAGAAATTCCATATAAGCTTTAAAAATTTTTATTTCTTGTTACGTACCTCACATGCTTACGTCTTTTTTGACTGACAGACAAGTCTCAACTCTCTTGACCCCTCCATAGCAGTCAATGCTATCGACCACTCTGTGTTTCATGGAATACTCTCCCCCAACTCCTGGACACTACAATCTCCCAGATTCCCTCTCCTCTTTCTGCCCACTCCTTCTCAGACTCTCATGCTGGCTCATTCTCTTCCACCCACCAACAAAATTGGAAGTTCCTTAAAGCTCAGTGTTAGGTCCTCTCCTTTTTCTACTATATATTCTCTCTCCAGATGATGTCATTCAAGTTCTCTGCCTAAGTATTAACAATTCACAAACATATGTCCAATCTAGACTTCACCTCTCAGATTCAGATCCATGTATCTAATCATTTACTTGAATTTCCTTAGATGTCCCCGAAGCAGTTTAGATTCAACATGTCTAAGAGAGAACTTATAATCTTACCTCCTCAAACCTGGTCTTCTTGCAGCATTCTCTGTCTAGTTAGTGCCATTACCCAGGCATACAAGCTAAAAACCAGGATTCATCCTGGACATGTCCTCCCATCCCGCATATTCATGCCTTCTCCAAGTTTTACTGATAGGGTCTCAACATATGTACAGTTAATTTCCTTTCTTCCATATCATCTGCCAATACCTTTAAACTACCAACATCTCTGACCTGGGTTAGTGAACTAGCCTCCTCACTCATCTTCCTGATCTTATTCCCCATATTCCCCACCCACCCTAATCTCAAGCTAATATGGTCTTTTCAAAAGGCTGCATGAATTTCCATATCTTTGCTGAAAATGTGGCTGATTTGTTTGCATCTAGGATACAGGTCTAAATCCTTAGGTTCACCAACAAAATCACGAAAGGCACAGCCCCTCTCTACCACATGTTACATCTCACATCATGCCATTCTTCAGTGTTCTAGACTTTAACCTTATTGACCATCTTTATTTACTTTAATGCCCTGTGCCTACTCCCTGTCCCTTCCAACACAGGGCCTTTGTACATGCTGTTCCATGTGTCTGTTTCACCTTTCCCTAGCTATAATTTCATTTGTAATTGCTCAGGTGTCACCTCCTCCAGCATGAATCAGGTGCCCCATCTTGTGCTTCCCTCTGTTGTACTATATTCCAATTGTTTGTTTACACACTTGTCTTGCTACCACAGTAAGAGCTGCCTGAAGAGATTTTGTATCTTTGTATCCTCGGCAAAAAGCAGATTCTGACACCTAGTATTCTGTAATTGTATTGTGAATGACTACAATAGCTCATTTAATATTGAGAAAGTAAGTTATTAGTGATAAAAACCAGTGTATACTTTTATGATACATTAGGAAATAGGATTTTCAAGAAAATTTTTTTCAAAGAAGAGATTTATAGAAAATAAACACCAACAGTTCCTTACTTTTTTTGTTTTGCCCATTGCCTTCAGGATGGAAAGATTTAGGTCTTCAAGTGCTGCTAGCACATTCTCATATTCGCCCAAGTGCTGGGAAAAATATTCTGAAAGTAAAAATATTGAAAAAAATCATGTTTGCATTTTATTATAAAATAACAACAAAATAAACCAATAATACACTCCATGAATGTCTAAAACAAATAAAATGCTGTAAGTGAAAACTGGAAGGTTTTCAAGAGAGACTAGGGTATCAATATTACTCATTTCATTAAAAAAAAAACCCTGATTACCATTATCCTTGAAGAAATGCTCTTTCCTACAAAAATAGGAAAAAATGAATCTGGATCTATGGACAAGACTGTTAAATAAAAAATTGTTCTCAACCGCATATTATTATAGCACTCATTAAGGCAGTAGTTTCAGCAAAAAATTAAACTACATTTTATTGTTTCTCCTGGGAGACATTTAAGCAAGGTAAGCTCTCCTCATGGTTAAGAATTAATAATGCTACAAAACACAAGGCTGTCCCCCTTAGCACCTCCCATGTAATTATTCCTATTATGATGTAATTTTTTTCAACAATCTGGGCAAGCAAAAGGGATGTTTATCACATTTTTCAGCTGGTAGAAATAATACATTGGATGTTACAATTAGGAGTACGGAATATAGACTGTTCCCAAACAAGCTGACGTGCAGGAGAGAGAAATGCAAAACCTCATATTTACTTATAGAAATCTTTGTATTTCTGAAATGACAGATCTGGCCTAACCAAAATTCACAGGAAGTCATATACTGAAAAGACCTAGAACTTTAAGTCACTAGAAAATCATTAGCCCTCACCATTCCTGTGAACTCATCTTTGGATGAGCTGTAGTTTATTATTGCCTCTCTTTAATGTGCCATAAGTATTTATGGAATCAAATTGAATGAGAAGAAAACTCAACAAAAAGCTATTTGAGATCACTGGGATAAATTTCAGTATGTTTTATGGAAACTTTAATACTCAAGATGGAATTATTTGTTGACATTAATACTAATAACAAATGAGAAGTATCATCGAATGATTAGTAGATATGCAGAAATCATCTGAAAAGAAAAAATTAACACAGGTGAGCAATAAAACAATTCAAGATTATCATTGCCAAATTATAATTTGTGTACACATGGATTAAAAATGCATGGCATTTTTTAAAAGATTTTATTTATTTATTTGTCAGAGAGAGAGAGAGAGCACAAGAAGGGAGAGCGGCAGGCAGAGCAGGCAGAGGGAGAAGCAGGCTCCCTGCTGAGCAGGGTGCCTGATACAGGACTCGATCCCAGGACCCTGGGATCATGATCTGAGCCGAAGGCAGATGCTTAACCGACTGAGCCACCCAGATGTCCCATGCATGGCATATTTTTGACAAAAAGCAAATGCATTCCTGATTATGCATTCCTTAAAAAAATGTGTGGTGCAAATCATCTCACATAGGGCTTCTTTCAGGAAGGGATTAGTTGGAAAATAAATAAGGAAGCAGATATTCCTTAAATACCTACTTGACAGTAACATTTTAATTCTTGGCTCTGATGTTGATTTTCTGTGTGTTGACCAACATATCTGACCTTGTCACCGTTATTTGCAATAAATGAAATCCCTATGAACAAATTTGTTCATGAACTAGCAAGCAGTTAATGTGGTTACAGAATATTAACTTTGACAAAAATAATTAGCAGAATAGAATCCACACTAAGTTGAAACAAGCAAAACGAATAAAGAAAAATTGAAAACAGAAAAATTGTTAGCATATTTTTAATACATACAAAGACTCAAAAAAGGCCGTAACGGGGATTTCAAGTGCAAGAAGGCAGAATATATTAAGTGAAAAATAGAATTTAGTGCTTAAAAATAAGGGTTTAAAAAAAAAACAAAACATGAAGGAACACCACCTTTTAAAATATTTTCATAAACAAGAGATCTGAATCAATGAAGTTCCCCTGGAGAGACTATAAATTGCCTTTCCACTGTGAAATCAAGTTTGTGAAGGTACATGCTGATAAAGAACATGAGAAGACAATGAGGTTTTTGAGCTGACACCTATCTAGCCTTCCTTCCTTCATTTACTCATCTACCCATTCATCTCAATTATCAGAGCAGTTAGGAGAAAAAAAAAAAATTACTCCCCAAGCAATATACTAGAACACAAAGAAAATAAGTCTCAGAATAGAGAGAACTACAACACCCAAGCCATGGATAGGAGCTTAAGTATAAGGGTTATTTTGAGGTGGCACAGCTCAGTGCCACTCAAATTGTTTTATAACTTACCAAGGGGCATGTACCAGGGCAAGTAGGGCTCCAATGAACTCAAAGAGGGAAATTAGATGAAGGAGCCAGAGACATTTAACATAGATAAAAGGACAGAATCCCCACCCTCCACTTCATGATGGTGAAGGTTCATTTAGTCAATTCAGGACTTAACACACATTTATTTAGTGCCTTCTGTGAGCCAGATGGGTTATACTAGGAGCCTGGAATACAAAGAGAGAATACTTAAGGAGCCTACAACCAGGTAGGGGAAATAAACATTCCAACAAACAACTGCTATACACATGGTCATTGTTCCAGACAATGGTTCAATAACTCAGGTACAAAATGCAACCAAAGTACAGGGCAAAGCAGGGGACATCCCTGTATTGCCTTGCTCTAGTGGCCGGGGGGCTTACATTTGTGGACCTCATAGGACCAAGGAGAAAGAGTTCTTAACTAGGTAGGCTCCCACCCCCATGGCACAGCACAGAGATGGCAGACTGAAATATACCCATAGCCTTTCTGAGAAAAAAGGCCCAGTAGCTTATCTTCATAGCTATGGCATAAGAGGTAGGCTTGTAATTAAACACACATCTAGGGGCCAACAACAATCCTCTCCAGAGACTGGGGAGGCTGGCATCACCATCTATGTGCTCCCTCTTAACCCTACCCCAGGTAATTGGTATCTTTAAAGAAAGGAGCTATGGATACATTTGGCACCAAGGCTTTTGGGGTTGTTGCCGAGAGGGCACATCCCTTGATAGCCTGGCTCTGATGGTCAGCAGGGCTTGTGTTCCTGAGTTCAAAAGGATCGTAGCAAAGAAAGAAACAGTTCTTAAGTGGCTAATACCCAGGGATCAGTGCAGAGGGAGCAGACAGAAATAACCATCATCTAATCTTCTCCTGAAAGAGGTTGAAAGCTATTACCTGAGGGTCTTGTTCTATAGCCTAACTGTCAGTGTTGACTGAGATCCTCCCCTTTGAGACACTGACCAGTCTTATCACATCCACAATTACTGGGAGCCACTAGAATAAAGTGGGCTACTTGAACAAGATTTGAAGAAAACCAAGAGCTAGGGCAGGGTTGAAAGATAAGGTACATCTCCTATATGAGAACACTCCTTCAAGACTGGAAGAAGTGGTTGTTTTATCTAATGCACAGAAACCAACTCAGAGAGTCAAGAAAAATGAAGAAACAGAGGAATATGTTCCAAATGAAAGAATAAGGTAATATACTTTAGAAAAAAGACATAATAGAGATTAGTGATTTACCTAATAAAGAGTTCAAAATAATGGTTATAAAAATGACTGCCAATTGGAAGAATAAATGAATAAAGTTAGAATTTCACAAAGATACAAAATACAAAGTACCAAATAGAAGTCATTGAATCAAAGAATGCAATAACTGAAGTGAAAAGTACAACAAAGTTCTTCAAAAGCAGACTAGATGAACCAGAAGAAAGGATCAGTAAACTTGAAGAAAGGACAGTGGAAATTATCCAGTCAAAGCAGCAAAAAGAAAAGGGAATGAAAAAAGAGTCAGAATAGCTTAAGAAACTTATAGGACATCATCAAGAGGACCAACATTCACATTATATGGGTCCCAGAAAGAGAAGAAAGAGAGAAAGGGGCAGAAACCTTGTTTAGAAAAATAATGGCTGAAATCTTCTCCAACCTGGGGAAAGGAAACAAACATACAGATCCAGGAAACCCATAAAGTTCCCATTAAGGTGAAGCCACAGTTAACCTCACCAAGACACATTATAATTAAACTGTCAAAAGTTAAAGGCAAGGGGCACCTGGGTGGCTCAGTTGGTTAAGCGGCTGCCTTCGGCTCAGGTCATGATCCCGGCGTCCTGGGATCGAGCCCCGCGTCAGGCTTCCTGCTCAGTGGAGAGCCTGCTTCTCCCTCTCCCTCTGCCTGCCACTCTGCCTACTTGTGCTCTCTCTCTATCTCTGTCAAATAAATAAATAAAATCTTTAAAAAAAAAAAAAGTTAAAGGCAAGGAGAGATTTTTAAAAGAAGAGAAAAACCAACTTGTTAGGTACAAAGGAACCCCCAATAAGACTATCAGCAGATTTTCAGCAGAAATTTGGAGGCCAGAAGAGAGTGGCATGATATATTCAAAGGGCTAAAAGAAAAACACTGCCAACCAAGCATACTCTAGCCAGCAATATGTCCTTCAGAATTGGAGAGAGAAATAGTATTCCAGAGCAGCAAAAGCAAAAGGAGTTCAGCACCACTACACTGGTCTTACAAGAAATGTTAAAGGAACTTCTTTAAGTTGAAATGAAAGGTACTAATTATTAATAGGAACACACATGAAAATGTAAATCTCACCAGTAAAGGTAAATGTATAGTAAAATTCAGAATAATCTCATGTTAGAAAGGTGGAGGGTTAATCACTTATAAAGTTAGTATGAAGGTTGAAAGACAAAAGTATTCAAATAATGATAACTATAGTAATTTGTTACCAGATACACAAGATAAAATATGTAAATTGTGACATCTATAACAAAGACGGTTTCACGGGGGTGAGGGAATAAAATTATAGAGCTTTAGAATGTGTTCAAACTTAAGTTGTTATCAAGTTAAAACAGACTGTTATAAATTGTTTTATGTAAGCCTCATGGTAACCACAAAGCAAAAACCTACAGTAGATACACACACACACACCCTCACCCATACACGCACAAAGAGAAAAAACTGAAATATACCACTACAGAAAAACATCAAATCACAAAGGAAGAAAGAGAAAAAGAAAGGAACAGAGGAACTACAAAACAGTCAGGAAACAATCAGCAATACATAAAAAAGCA